CTGAAACTGACCAGTGGCTGACTACAGGAAGCCCCTGCCCCGGGCTTCCTGGAATCAGCCGCTGATCAGTTTCAGCAGCAGCTGACTTGGGGATGCCTGGGGTTCTTAAATTGAATCTGTATGTAAGTCAGAACTGGCGTCCAGATTCAGCCACTGTTGAAACTGATCGGTTTCAGAAGTTGCTGAATCTGGATGCCAGTTCCGACTTACATACAGATTCAACTTAAGAACAAACCTACAGTCCCTATCTTGTACGTAACCCGGGGACTGCCTGTATCTCAATACCTTATCCTATGCTTTTAACTATCAACAGTACTGTAAACTATCTTCAGATTTCATTTTGGAACAAGTATAAGTCTAATGCAATCAATTATATTCAGGCAAGACTTAGAAAGCAGTAGGGCTAATTTTCTTTTCCTAGGAATAAAAACCACCTTTTTGTGTAAACAAGAAATCCTTAAGGTAATCACCAATCATGCAAAACAAAGGACGCAATCAACTAAAAACCATATTTCATAGGAATTTACCTTCTGTTACAAAGTAGCGCATGATTAGTGTAATTGGAAGATAACTTTTAAAAATTAACTAATGTATTTACTTTGTGCATTTGGCAGTGTTTTCTGTGTAATCAGTTTCACTGCAATCCATTTTCCTTGTTTGTGTAGTCTTTTCACACAGTAATAGAGAGAACTTTTCTTAATGTGTTTCATATTTTAATTTGCATTGAACTTTTCTCAAATGCTGTCCCAGATTTAATTTTGCAGTCCAGGGGTTTAGAGAAAAAATTTGCTCTGATACCAACATCCTGTATAATTCTACTAAATATCATTTAGTCAGTAAAGCCTCGCTGAATACCTATTTTAGTTTTAAGATGTTATCTAAATGAGGAAAAGTTGATACTACAATGTTAACAGTATTTATGGCTTCATCAGATTCCTAGAATTGGCCATACTATGATTTTGGGACCTGAAGATACTGCTCCCCACTTTTGAAATATAGGGGTTGCATTCTGTAATTATTTCCTTGCAATATAAACTGCTACTGTAACCTTGACACTTCAAAGACGTGGTCAGCAGTTGTCCAATAAGTGTGTTTTTATATAAGCTCTTCATTTTCTAAGGGGGTGGTGAGAAGGGATATTAGCAGGTCCCTGAAAGGGCAAATGGGAAGAGTTCATATACATTTAACAAAGGAGGTATTAATGCCTCTGGTGAAGGTGGATTAAAGAAAGCACACACACTGGAAAACTAAGCAGGTGTGTTTATCAACCTAATCTCTTTGTGCATGTGTTTTAGTCCTTTGGCCTCCTGCCCTCCCCTCATTACCTTTTTAGATTGTAATTTCTTTTTGTTGATAGGTTTTAAACCTCACCTCTGACTATAGGAAAAAACAGAGGGGCAGGTGGAAATGCTGGTCCCAGCATCTAGAATGTGCAGGTGGATTGAGAGAATGGTACAAAATGAGCCAAAGCAGACTGCTCTGTGGTGGAGTTTACACTGACAAAGGTGCATCCCCACAAAAAAAAACTTGGAAGGAGTTGTGATAGTGCAGGAATCTGACACACTAACTAACAGGTCCTGGCTGGATGCAGGGAGGGGTGCGTACAAAGACGTACAATTGTCTAGGACACATTAAAATGGAAAATATATTTTTGTGGCTTACCCTGCAGTGGAACTGGCAAAGTGTGTGCATAAATAAAATAAGCTTCTGAAATTGTCAAAGCTAATATCAAGTGATTGTTTATATGGTGTCACCTGCAGGATTTCTGTTGATGTGCACCCTTGCAAGTGTTATAATTATAGAAACATCACCTTTACCAGAATTTTGTATCCCCTCTCCCCCATTGCCAATGCAGAAAACCATTCAGACACAGATTAGGCCTGATCCATTCATCATGAAAAGTTTTAATTTCACGGTTACCTTTGGTTGGCATTCTGCCGATTAGTCCAACAACTTGCTTTGCTTTGGCAGTTCATTTTGACCCAAGATGCATTTAGTAACAGATTATGAAATGGCAGGCAGCTAGCTTAATTTAGAAAATCCATTTTCCAGCAATCTATTTCACAAAGTTTGTTTTGGTTGCTAGCTTCTTTTTTTTTGCACATTCCCTATTGTGTGTGAGTGTGTATATATATTTTTATTTTATTTTTTAAAGGATTGGACCTATCCCATGAGAAGAGAGATGCAGGTATGACACTTTAATTTGTTCATTTGAGTCAAAACCCAGTGGCTCTTTCAATAAGTACATCGAGTTGCCAATTGAAAGACTTGGGTTTAAAACTAACTTCAGGCTTTTAGAGAGCAGGCTGGCAGTATTGCAGTAGATATGCCTCCTGGGGGATGGGTGCATGCTACATTATTCTTGAATTCCCCACCTCTGTGGGGTAGTATAGAATAGTAGGAGGAACAGTCTCTTGTTTCATGTGTGCTGTGTGGCTTAATTATGGAGAGGGATTTTTTTAATGGGGGAAGAGGAATGAGGAAAGAAGAGTGGATGGTCTAGAATAAAGGGCACCTGGAATCTCTTGCAAACATACAGTTAAAAACCACAATTAATTGGGGATTTTGACTTCTGCCCCAGCACCTAAAGCATTCAGTATTCTGCCTCTCTAGATGTTTTAGAACATGGGCATGACAAATAGACTAGAGCTTTGCTTCTGACTTAAATGTGTTCAGAAGCAGTTGTTCTCAAATAACATCCTTTGGGGAATGTAAGTTTCAGTACCATGACTTCTGTCAGATCCTTGCATAAAATAAAGATCTTCAGACATGTCTTGATTGGAGGGAGACTGACTGGATACAAATTGCTCATTTGTTACTTACTGTCCTGTAAATGAAATGGCTTTATTACATATAAAGTGGACATAAGTGAGCTTTTGGAAATACAGAAGATGACTTGACTTTACTTCCAGCTCATAATTCCACTGAATCCACTATTTAAATAGGACTGGAGAAGGTGTGGCAGTCTAATTTGAGCTTTGTCCATCTAAAGTATTTAATTTTTCTTTTAAAAACAAGTCTCTTCCTGGGGATCACATTTTTTACTTTGCAAAACTTTTTTTCCTTCCCCTGTTATAAATAACTCTTGATAACATGTCCCTCACATGACTGTTGTTTCCATGAGTTGAGTGCAATGCATCTTTAAAATAAGTTTTTTGAGCTGATATTTAATGTGTTTTCCTCTCTAGGAAATTTTACCTGGGTTATTTTTAGGCCCATATTCTTCAGCTATGAAAAGCAAGGTATGGTTTTCAAAATATTCTCCTCTAAAGTTCTGGCAAAATTGCTCTTGACATATTGTAATGTCGTTATTGTGAACAAGTAGATGTACACAATTAACATTTGTAGGCAAGTCGAACATCTTTCACATATGAGCTCAGTATGAATGAGACAAGGTGAATGAGGTAATATTTTTTTATTGGACCATCTTCTCCTTTCAAGGTACAGAGTTCTTCCTCACGTCTGGGAAAGGAACTCTGAGGGGATGGCTAACCAGCGAAGAGAAACCCATGGCAGATCCATGCCAGCTGACTCAGGTTTATGGTGCTCTGGCTGCTTGATTGCTGTGTAGTTTTTTGGGCTCAGCTTAGAGCTTGAGCTCTGGATCTCTTCCACCGCACAGTCATAGAGCCCAGGTTCCAGCCTGAACCCAGAAGGCAACACAGCAATGAAACAGCCCGACGAGCACGAGTCAGTCGGCATGGGCCAGCCACAGGTGTTCCTTTGTTGTGTAGCTATACTCACACTCATGGCTGAATACCAGATCGAACAGATCATTTAGCCACAACAGTTCTCAAACTCTGGTTTTGGATCCCAAAGTGGGTTGCAGCCCCATTGTAATGGGGTCACCAGGGCTGGCATTACACTTGCTGGGGGCTCAGGGCCGAAGTCAAAGTTTGAGCCTCACTGCCTGGGGCCAAAGCTCAAGGGCTTCAGCCCTGTATGATGGGACGCAGGTTTTAGCTCCTTCTCCCCTCCCCCTGCTTGGGACGGGGGAGCAGGGTTCCCTCTCATTTTTCCCACACATGTACGGAATGAATGTTATGTGCACCAATATGAAGGTCATGTGTGCATCACCTGCTAATTTGCATATAACAATTCATGTGGTGAGTACGAGGGGTGTGGAATGTGGGATGGGGTGTAGGAGTGTGAGGACTCTGGCTGGGGGTGTTCTGGGGTGGGGATGAGGGGCTTGAAGTGCATGCTGCCTGGGGCTGTGATGGGGAGAGAGAACTCCCCCCAGCTCTCTTCCCCACAGCAGCATCTGTGCTGGGGGGAGAGAGTCACTACTCCCTGCCGTGGCAGCTTTGGGACTAGGTTCAAGCCAGGGGAGGGTTTTGGCTGGGTTTGGCTGAGGGGAGGGGTTCCTGTCCCCTGACAATGGCAGGCCCGGGGTTGGATTCAGAATGAAAGAGGGGGGGCCCTGTCCCCTGGCCCTGTCCCCTCTCTGGAGATATTTAAGAACAGGTTAGATAGACATCTGTCAGGGATGGTGTAGACGGAGCTTGGTCCTGCCTTGAGGGCGGGGGGCTGGACTCGATGACCTCTCGAGGTCCCTTCCAGTCCTATTATTCTATGATTCTATGCAGCAGATCTGGGGCTGGATTCCCTAGTGTGAATTAAGCTAAATGACAGGGTTTCAGTTTTAACATGTCCTAGAGGCAGAGAAACGGTTTGCAAAATTATATCATATAGCTTAGAAATACCACTTCTCACCTGCTATGGACTGGTTCCATCGAGATTCAGTGTTAGCAGTCATATTACCACAAGAACTTGAGAGAAGAAGTTATCACAAGATCTCATAGAAGCTGAAAGGTGAGTTGTGGGCAGGGAAACCAGTTTTTAAACCCCTTTGCTGAATTTTTAAAAATCCCTGTTGGTTGAGGCATTCTTCATGTAATCCTATTTGACTGATCAATTTAAAAAAAATTCTGCTCTTTATATGAATGTTTGAGGTCTCATCTTAATGTATTTACTTTTCATATACTTGCCTGATCTCAATTTAGTCTCTCTCTCTCTCTCACACACACACTAACAATAGCTTGCCATTTTTTATATCTCTGCTATAATATCTATGCTGTTCTTTAAAATGTTTACCTGAATTCTTATATTTTGCAGCTACCTATACTTCAGAAACATGGAATAACCCATGTAATATGCATACGGCAAAATATTGAAGCAAATTTTATTAAACCAAACTTTCAACAGTTATTTAGGTAAGAAATGAACATAACATTCTGAAAAATAAAACAATATTGAAGATTTTATTTTTAAAAGTTATGCTTTAATTATATTCATGGGATTTTTAAAGGTGTTTTCCTTGTTGCTAGCATGGTCCTCTCAAGTAATTGTGTTGTGTTTATAGTAATTATTTGAAAAGTTGCACTAAGATAAACAGGGTTGTCAGATAATTTCTGAGATTTGAATTTGTCCCATCCAGTCACAAAATACCGTGTATTGTGCCAAGCACACACACACAAATGAAGGTCTCTCAACTCTTCCAATTACAGATCTATCAGTTATTCAAGTGCTTGTTCATGTGCATTCCAATCAGGTGCATGCACGTGCATAGTAGCTGCAGAACTTTTTCCCTGGCCATAGCGTCCGCCCATGCGCCCCTTGGAGTGGGGCCAATATAGCATCCAGTATAGGGTGCTGCCGACCCTTCCCCTCCTCAGTTCCTTCTTACAGCCAGTGACAGTGGCTGCAGAACTGTTCTTGGCCGTGCCTTAGTCCCCAGGTTTCCAGGTGTGCCGGTCCGGCGTTATGCACAAGACTTGATGCACCTTACAGTGCATTTCTTGCTGCCCAGGCAGGACCCTACGCTGAAGACAAAGGCACCAGTGAGACCTCCAGTGGAATTGAAGGGGAAGCCGGTGACGTTGGCACCAAGATCCCCTCTCGTCAGACCAGAGGCTCTAGTCAATCTCCAGCATCGACCAGGTCATTGTCGAGAAGTGCAGCCCCTAGTCAGACTATACAGGGCGCAGGAGGTTGTTGTCTCTGCACTGGAGGAGGCTTCATCCATCCTAATGGTCACCCCAGTGGCAGAACCCACCAACACAAAGGTGGACTCCCTGGGCCTTCCACTAAGGCCAGGCGCCAATGCTCGCGTTCTGGGAAGCATCCATGGTGTCAGCGACCTTCATCGTACCCTGGGCAGCTGAACAGTGGGTGCAATTTGTAGCCCTGGCACCAAGCACGGCACCATCTTATGCCATGTTGGCACCAGATCTGATTGCAGTCGCAGCAATCAGTGTGGTTTGGAAACACATTCGACATAGGTGCTGCCCCCTACGATGGCACCGATATTGGTCCCACAGGTCAGATCGGTAGCAGACCATCCAATGTACTGCCTTCGGCACGAATCCAAACGTCAGTCCCTCTGCCTTCGGGTGTTAGAGACTCCAAGGGGGGATGATGGCAGAGAACACCACCCTCCATTGATAGCTTCCTCCTCTTCCTCACCCGACAAGGCAGTGGCCAGTTCTTTCATGGCCCTGGCCCATGAGGACCCTCTGGTCTTCCAGACGTTGCTGTGCAGGGTGGCCCAAGGTTTGAGTATCCAAGGGGAGGAGATAGTGGATGAGGCCAATCCAGTGGTTGATATATTAGCCCTTGCAGGGCCATCCAGAATTGCTTTGGCATTGATTAAGGTGGTGTCAGATACGACACAGACCCCACCTCATTGCAGCCCATTGCCAAGGAAGATGAGACGGCACTTTGTCCCCTCCAAAGAGCTCGAGTACTTTCACTCTCCCCACCACCAAACTCCTGAGGCAGTTTCCAGGGACCCTCCCCTCAAAAGAGGGAGGCGAAATGATTAGACCTGTTTGTCTGCAAGGTCTATTCAACAAGGGGGTTGCAATTCTGTATTGTCAATCAGCAGGTCCTGGTCAATAAGTGCCTAGAGCACTCGTTTGACCCTAACCGAGTTTACTGAGCTGCTCCCACCAGAGCCAGCTTAGTGAATACATGCTTACAGCCCTTTCCTGCCCTGCTTCCAGGGAGGAGACTTCTCTGCCCTGCCACAGCCAGCTGAGTGCAACCGACACCATTGATGGATAAGCATCAGCTTATCGGTTAAACGATTCTAACATCCCTACTTTCAGCCTAGCTCGCCAGACTTTTCAGTCGAACTCGTCTCAGCAATGACGGACAACACAATGACGATGTCCTGTCTCAGCAAACGGGTGCGCGCTCCTTTCCCCTGTGCGGAGAAGCCCTCAGGCCATGGGATTTCTGTATAGAACATTCAGTCCTCCTGCGAACTTCATACCTTCCGGGAGTGCAGAACGAGCTGGCAGATCACTTCAGCAGGTCATTTCGGTGTCACGAGTGGCTGCTTCGCTCAGATGTTGCCAGCTTGATTTTCCAATGCTGGGGTGTTCCCCAAGTGGTCCTTTTCTCCCCAAGGAACAGGAAGTGCCAATAATTCTGCTCTTTTCAGAACCACAGTCCCAGGTCAGCTATGGATGTGTTTGTGCTGTTGTGGGCAGGCCATCTACTGTATGACTTCCCACCCATTCTGCTGGTCCTCAAAATTAGGAGGGATCAAGCTCATTGTTGTTCGGATTGCTCCTGCTAGGACCCACCACCATTGGTTTATCTCCCTCCTGGACATGTCTGTAAAGGCTCTGATAAAACACAGCCTTTGAGAGAGCAGTGTTTCAATCAGTGAAGAACTCCAACCCCACCTCCCAGACTTGGGCTTGGGGAATGCACATGAACAAGCATTCAAAGAAGAAAAAATGGTTACTCTTCCTTAACTGTTGTTTGCGATGTGTTCATGTCCATTCCAATAGCCACCCTCCCCCTCTGTTGGCAAGAAGGAACTGAGGAGGAGGAGGGTCGATAGTGCCCTCTATTGGGTGTCATTTCTGCACCCCTCTAGCGGGTGCCTGGACTGACCCTGTGGCTAGCTGCTAGGGCAGGGGTGGGGAACCTTTTTTTGGGTTGGGGGCTGCTGACCCACAGAAAAATCAATCTGGAGTCGCGCACAAGTGAGAAGCAAAGAAAAAACAAAACAAAAAAGCCCCTCACTGATTGAGGAGGAGAGAGACACTCCCCACATTCCCCTCACTCACCAGCGCTTAGGGGGGCCGAGGCTAGTCGATCGTGTGCTCCAGCCCTGTAGTGGGATGGCAGGGAAGCTAGAGCACTAGCATAAGCTCCCCAATGCTGGGGGGAGTCCTGAGGGAGCCAGATCCAGACAAACCGAGGGCCACATCTGGCCCCTGAGCCTGAGGTTCTTCGCCCCTGTGCTAGGGTAAAAATCTTCTAGCTGCTGTGCACATGCGCGCACATACACCTGATGGAACGGACAATAGATGAACAGCACATCTGGAAGAACAATAGTTAGGAAAGCTGAATAACTTTTTTCTGGCTATATTTTGTTTTTAATTGAAAGATTGTTGCAATAACTGATTCAAAGACAATATTTAGAGCAGTGGTCCCCAATGCGGTGCCTCCGGGCGCCATGGCACACGCTGGGCCATTTCTGTGCGCCCACCAAGTGATCAGGGCCAGCCCCGCCCCCGGGCACGTGGTGCAAGGGCGGTGCCAGCCCCTGGGCGCGCAGCGGGTGGGTGATGCCAGCTGCTGGGCATGTGGCACAGGAGCAGCGCTGGCCCCGGGAGTGCGGTGCATGGGTGGCCCCGGCACTGGGCACGCAGCGTATGGGTGGCCCTGCCTCTGGGCATGTGTGCGGCCCTGCCCCCAAGTGCTGGGCGCATGAGTGGCCCCCCCCGCGCGGCCCCACCCCCAGGCGCCCGGGAGCCTCTAAACATTGGGGACCACTGATTTAGAGTCTTTTTATGGTTCACCAGGCCCCCAGAAGAGTGTTCAGGTACAATTTTATATCCTGAAGATACTGGGAATGAGAGCAGTTTAGTTATATTCTGTATAAATTCATACCCAGAATGGTCCTCTGCATCTTTGATTCCAAAGGGGTTTTGCACTGCATTGTGGATCTCATCCTTCCAGCTGAGAACCGGATAGGCTCTTTCAGATTCAGTCAGAACATTTTAATAGCCTACAGGGGGTTCTACATTCACCAGAGTCCTGGAATTGAGACTGGAAAATGAGGTTGTCTTTTATGTGGCAGTGTACAATTCTGCAGTTTTCTGAATATTGTAGCAAAGCTATCTTCTGGATTTACTGCACCCATTAAAGACAAGTCAATGTGTAATACTGTTGTATGCTCACAGTAACTGTTTTAATTGCAGGTATTTAGTCTTGGATATTGCAGATAATCCAGTTGAAAATATTATACGATTTTTCCCTATGGTAAGTATCTTGGTGTGTCTGATCGTATTGTGGGCGGAGCAGTTCTATTAGATTTTCCAAGGTGACTAGTAATTTAGGTCATTACAATTTTTCCGTGCCTAAGTCACCTGATTTTTCATTTTCTAATGAATTCTATTCCTGACTCTGCAACTGTCTGCGTGGTGAACTGGATCAGGTCAGTTCACAGCTCTGCCTCGGTTTCCCCATCTGTAGAACTGGGACAGTGATACTGACCTCTAAAGCGCTTCAAGATCTGCTGATGATTAGTGCAGTATAAGAGAGGTGGTGGTAGTAATATCATCACTGTTAGTGCCTGGTTTTTAGTGGCTGCTCATCACTTTCCAAAAACCTGGCCCATTTAAGGTGTCCCAAGATGTGTACCCAGAATTACTAGTTATTTTGGAAAACCTTGGTCACTAAGAATCAGCCCTATAATTTTTTCCTTGGAGCAAGTATTAGTACAAGTCAGTTAAAAGTTAAAGGAAGCTGGATGGTTCAAAATTTAAATTCATTTTCTGAAAGCATATCAAAACCTACTTTCTTAAAAAGTAATACTCTGGATATTTACACAGAAAAAGTTGGTTAAAAAAATGCTGAATCTTAATTTGTACATCTCAGATTATTTTTGACAGAATTTTATGGGGATTCCCCTCACTCCCTCCCAAATTAAGAGAAATCCTCCTTGCAGTTTGCAGTAGTCTCAGTGTTTTCATAGTGTGGACCACATAATGCATTGATTCCCATGTGATCTCCTTCCTAATCATGAAGCGTTTTTTGATCACACAACTTCCCTATAGCAATTCTTGCAATTTGCTGGCAGGGAGGGTAACACGCTATAAGTGTGTACATTCAACAGTCAAGTGCAATAAAGCCTTGTGTTCTCTGAGGGGAAAATACATTCTTTTTCTTCATTTCATCTCCTCCTCTCACTCTACTCCTTGAATGTGGTTCTTTGCAGCCAGTTGCCTTCTGGTTCCCCTGCTCATACTGCCTGGTCCTCTTCTCTCCCCCATTCCTTGTAACTGTTTTACCTTGGATATGCCTTTCCCACCAATGGTTTTGGACATTCAGGGTGGCTCTTGTTTGGGTCTTACATAGCAGTGACCCCCCCAAGAAGAGATCTCCTTTCTAGCTGCTTTTAAGGTTACCAGGCTCTTCTAGGAAGTGAAGAGACTGGGGCCTTGAGCAGCTAGAAACAAGGAAGAGCTAGTGCTAGTTGACCATCTCATATTGGTGTTGGTCCAGAGAACTCTTTAAACCATAAATCTTATGTTACAGGTTGATTACTATAAACCTACACAATATTCCAGTAAATAAGGTCCTTGCAAAATATAAAGGGTCTTTGTAAAGTAGATACACTGACATCCTTGTAATTCTTCATTAGTATTAATTGTGACCCAGATGATATTTGTTGATTATTTTGATTTTTATCTTTTTACGACCAGATAACATAGACTGTTTGCATTGAATTGTCCTGAATAACTTGGGAGCATTTTGGGATCATAAATAACAAAGTTTATGGTAATGCTTATCTAAAATGTGTTTAATTTATAATTAAATCTTTATTAAATCTCTTCAGGTAACTCTTAAATAACTCCACCAAAACTTTTTTGTATCTCAAAATTCTCACACAACCCTCTAAATTTGTATGTAGAACAGTTAAGTCACACATTAGTATGTACAAATCTTGAATTTTTATATATTGACTGAGGATTGGTGTGAAAACTTCAGATTTTAAATGTAAAAATTGTGTTAGTATTTACAGCTCTAGTTGGAATTGCACGTCTTCATATAACCAACAGTCTTTTTTCCTATAGACTAAAGAATTTATTGATGGAAGTTTACAAACTGGAGGTAAACTTGCATGCACTTTTTTCTTTGATTACCTCATTTCCTTATGGCTTGTTATAAAGCTTTAATGATCCACTAGCATAGTTGTATGTATCTGGACATAAATACTTGTAACTTAAGTGGGGATTTCCCAAATTTTTGGGTTTATTGGCTGACTGGTGCTTGTCATTTTGCATGTTTGTGTATCTGGTCATGAAACTTGTCTTAACATTGCACATCTTTAATCGGACGATCCTGGGGAAATAGGGTTTGCTGAATTAAAGATTTTGCCAGACCAGGGAATGAGTGAGGGGGATGTTAGTGGGACGCTTATCTGGCGCTCTGCGTCCCCTGTCTGCTCCCATGCACTGCCTCCTACTGCTATGGGAGCGGTGGGGGAAAGCCTCCGATGGAGTGTATCGCTCTGCTGCTGCTCCTCCAGCAGCAGCGTGCAGAGTGGCTTCTGCCTGCCAGGTTCCATACCATGGGTATTCCCGATTTACACCCAGAGTATGGAGGTTATAGTATATAGGCCCAATACAAACTGTTCTCCTTCTTTGCCACTCAAAACTTGGATAACCAATCAAACTATTCCTATTCCAATCTTTACACTGCAGATTTGATTGTGTTCTGGAAACAAAGACAGATTCATACACTTGGGTTTTTGTTTTTAAATGCAGGGCCTCACTCTTAATACTGAGATCCTGTTAGCATGGATCCTGATTAGTGATGTAGAGTGAAGTAATACAAAATTTGTAAGACACTTAACCTGTTATTCTTTAGAAAATATCTTGCTGTTGCATAGATGTATTTAAAGTGAAAAGCTGGTAAACTTGGGAAGGAATCATTTTTATCCATCTATACAAGTAATTCTCTCTTTTTTCAGGGAAAGTTCTTGTCCATGGAAATGCAGGGATTTCTAGAAGGTAGGAACCTTTTCCTTTTCTTTTTGTTTTTTAATCATATGCAGGTATGTATTTTCTAAATAGTTTGTTTCTTTTCAGTGCTGCCTTAGTTATTGCATACATTATGGAAACATTTGGGGTGAAGTACAGGTAAGAAAAATACATTTAAACTGATGTGTAACTTAGTTGACTTATTTGTGGAAACTGAAATAAAAGATGCTTATAGGACATTGGTCCATTTGTAGTTTAAGTACTATCTTTCCAAACAAGTACTTAATTATAAATGTAAAATAATGATTTAATTTAGTAATATTCTAAAGAATTTTCAAAGGGAATGTACAGCCAGCGGATGCAAGGCATAAATCAACCTTTAACTCTTGGGGGTTGGGAAGAGACTTTTGCCTTTGGGCAGATTATCCCATGAGGGAGGATTGCTTTTAGTTTCCTCTGAAGCATTTAGAGACAGGATACTGGACTAGATGGACCACTAGTCCATGTTCTTACATGCTGTAATAGACTCTGGGGGCCTCTGCCACCCAATGCAATTTAGAGAGATCCTAACACTGTGGCTGTAGCAAAGGGGAGCCTAAAGATATCTAAAACCACCTTCTCCCACAGCACTAAGCTACCCTGGTACAGAAGGGTTAGTTCTAACAGCGTTTTAAAGAAAAGTGTTTTTCTCCAAAAATTCAGAGCC